TCTCTCCTCTATGTTTCATCCTTCCTCGTAGCTTGTTTGATCCGTTACAGTAACTTTGGTTGAATATCGATGCTGCCCAGTACTTAAATATCCTCGATGGTTCTCCATAACGGATCACGATCTTCTGTTATCGTAGGCTTGTTGATGTCAATGTTGCGAGATAATGTACATCGTACCGCTGCAGACTCAATATCATCCGTTGTAAGCGGTTTGGCACTTCCGTTAGAGGCTTTTTGAAAATACTTGTCAGCGGCTGGTGGTTGGACGGCCCCGTCACTTCCTTTGCCCGAAGATGTACTGATCGAGAAGGGGATCGCCAAGGTCTTCTCCTCTGTTTGAAAGTATCTTTACTCAGTTAAAGTTCTCGAAGCAAACATGACTGGCTGTCCTTCCTGCAGTAGCACAGCTCACAATACAAAACCGCTGGCGTCGCACTGTATAGTTGCGCCAAGTTTTGGATTATAAAGGGTGTCCACGATGAAATTGCCACACTATGAAATTGCTCTAACTTTTTAACCGTTGGGTAGAATTTAATGAAAATTTGGGTGGATTTAGTTCATAGTGCATTATTTACATCCTGCAAGTTTTAAAGTCCTGTGATCAAAACTCGCGGAAATGGAGTCGAAAGAACAGCTCGTGCGTGATAAAATCTTGCGCATTCATCACGAGAACAAGGATCTCTCGCATCGTTCCATCGCTAAAACGTTGGGAATCGCGAATTCCACGGTGTCGCGAGTGATTAAGCGGTTCGAGGAACGGTTGACCACCGATCGGAAGCCCAGAAGTGAAGGAAAAAGTATTCCGTACAACACCAAAAATCACAACCGCGTAGTTGGGGCCTTCAACCGAAATCCGAACGCCTCCATTAGGGATGTGGCTAAGAAGCTGCACTTAAGCCGAAGTTTTGTCCAGAAGGCCAAAACTAAGGCTGGGCTTCGAACGTTCAAGGTACAAAAGGCCCCTAATCGCGACGAGAAGCAGAACAAGTCCGCCAAAACCCGTGCCAGGAAGTTGTACCTCAACATGCTGACGAAAGTTGAATGCTGCATCATGGACGACGAAACATATGTGAAGGCCGACTTCAAACAGATCCCCGGCAACCTGTTTTTCACGGCCAAGGATAAGTTCAGCGTTCCGGAGCATGTCCGCACTCAGAAGATGTCCAAATTTGCGAAGAAATTCCTGGTTTGGCAAGCCATCTGCACGTGCGGGAAGCGGAGTGCACCTTTCGTGACCCAGGACACGATGAACGGACAGGTGTACATAAAAGAGTGCCTCCAGAAGCGGCTGCTTCCTCTCCTGAAGGCCCACAACGTCCCAACAATCTTCTGGCCGGATTTGGCCTCATGCCACTACTCCAAGGACGTGCTGAAGTGGTATGCGGACAATAAGGTCAATTTCGTGCCGAAAATGTTCAACCCTCCCAACACTCCGGAGCTCCGCCCCATCGAGAAGTACTGCGCGATTATGAAGCAGCACCTTCTTAAACGACCTAAGGTAGTGAAGACAGTCGAGGAACTGAAGAAAGTATGGGTTTACATGCAAAAAACGGTTGATTCACAGGTTGTGCAGAATCTTATGGCCGGGGTTAAGGCCAAGGTGCGGGCATTTGCGTATGGACTGTAAATAAAATACGAGTAAAATGGTAAAATGAAGTTTAATAGTTATTTCTCAATCCCTGAAAATTTGATGGCAATCGGATGAAAACTCGAATTTTGCGAATCAATTTTGTGTGTGGCAATTTCATCGTGGACACCCTTTAGTACTGCAACACTGATATCTCGACGATTTGCTTCTTCAGTACACTAAAGGCTTCTGCTTGCTGCTTGCTCCAATACCACTTCTTCGAAATCAGAACCTCTCTGACCGGAGTGCTCAGTTCCGAGAGCTTCGGTATGAACTTCGCCAACGTTTAAAAGTTATATAACATGGAACTTGAAATAAGATATATCTAACTACCTTGACAACAGGCCACAATACGTGGAAGGTGCTTGTGCAGAATTATCTAGGTAATTCTGCACAAACACCTTTCACGTATCATGGCTGCGTCTAGGCATTGCACGTTCTCAGTTGTGACTTCGTTGCGTTGCGTGGCGTTGCGTTGCGTTTGTAACGGAGTAATTCGTAGGTTGCATACTGGCAACTGTCTTGTATCTACTTTAACATTCTTATTCTAATTGCTTAAGGAAAACTATATGGGAATGAATAGCTCTCCAATCAGAATTCAAAATAGGAAAAGCATGATTGCCGGCCACGCCCATCTTCCCCGTTACGGGGAAAAGAATGATATTGTTGATGTAACATCTACTTAACGGAAGGCCAGCGACTCACCGACGCCCCCATAGATGCTACGGAGTTGGATAGTTGGGTAGGAGATGGGTCAGGAACAGGATTCACTTAAGCAGGCGATGCACCATACACGGCAAGAAAAAAATACTCAAAATTAAGTTTAAAAAAACTCAACGTTGGGTTCTATCATTTGAGGTCCGCCGTTGAGTGAATCAGAAAAGCGGCGTTGGTTAAAATTTACTCAACTGTTGAGTAATAATAAATGAACTCAAATATAAAGTTTATTTTCATTGAGGTTGCTCTTATGCGCCTTTAACATTTTCAGTTTTACAAGCGTTGATAGACGACTGGTCAACACACGGGCCCCGTAATCTCAACGTCCATGGTTCGGTTCCAGTCTGCTCCGTTTTATTATTTTTTTGTCAAATTGGTCAACGATCAGGATTACTCAAAATTGAGTTTTCTTCTTTAACTTAATTTTACCTAGCCCCACGGAAGCCACGTGATGAGTGAAAGGAACTCAATTTTGGGTACTTTTTTCTTACCGTGTAGTAATTGTTTTTTTTTGTGGAGCACGATCTTCTACTCAGTAAGCAGATCCAATAAGATAAAATGTAAACAAACAAAAAGGAAGGGTCTCACCCGAATGATCGAATTTACGGCAACTTGCATCTGCTTGACGCGAACACGAAGCGTCCGCTCATAAAATCATACACGCGTAAATAAAATGTAATTAAAAATTATCACTCGTGATGCCACTAATTTCTGGTCCGGGAAAAAAAAAATCAAACAACGCAGATTGCGACATCTCTTCTGATGCTTGCAAACATGAAGAATCACGTTTTCTTTCTCGATTCTAAAACTTCCCGGAAAGCGAGAAAACTACTAATCACACACGTATAACCGTCCGGGAGGCAGAGCGCCAGCGCTAATCCTGCAAATGCAGCCGAACACTATGAAAGCGAACGCACGCACAAAACAGAGAACAAACTTAAAACCCTTAGCTTAAAATTTAATAAACTGGATTCATTTTTTTTTTAATATCCTTTGTTTCGTAATGGGTTGGGCATTTACCTACTTGCCCCACCAGTTTTCATTTACCCCAATGTAACTTTCATTTAAACTACCCTGACCTTAAATCCTCTTCGAGGAATAATAGGTATACATATCTATATATATTCGAAAACCATAGTAACCCATTTTTTCCTTGTTTCAAGATTTTTCTCGGTTGATGTCAGGTGAGTAACGATTTGAGTCTTTACAGTATCGATAAGGCTTATAAAAGTTTAGTTCATTATAATTTGGTGATAGTTGACGGAAAGCTAAATAGAACGCCACAAGGAATGATTAAACATTCCTTTGGGCATGTCACTGAAATTAAGACTGGGACTTATGAATATTTGTCAATCTTTTTTAAATTAATTCTTAACTTGGAAAATTACTTATGTATTGCAACTTATACTTAGATCCACAAATAATCAAACTCTATTATCGCTCAAAATAATCTTACTCATAGAAAGAGTATAATAATTTTCTTTTTGTTCATGGGAAATATATATCTAGAACATCATGTCTACACACTAAGATTATTTCACCGAAATCTGTGAAATTTTACCGAATATCTGTGAAAAATCACAGGAAAACTGTGAAAAATCACCGAACTGTTCAGCTGTTGAGATTTCGGTAAAATTTCACAGATTTCGGTAAAATAATCTTAGTGTGTAGTTGGCACATTATATAATATATAATATATTATATTGTATTTTTAACGAAGTCAGCAAACATTTTGTCACAGACAAACAGACATAACACATTGAATATTTCTCACTTTAAAACATCGTCGCTAAAACATTACCGCCATCTGTTGAGTACACTGTGGTGGGCACTACACTGAACAGATGGCGGTAGTGTGTAAACGTCAAACGCAAGGGAATTAATTATGCGCGCCACAAGTGGCGGTACTACCAACTACGATACTTTTAAATTGTCCGTTAAATGCTTGTTCGATGAACAAATTGTGAGAGTTATGTCTGTTTGTCTGTGATTTTGTTATCGTATGCAAGAACGGTGTTTTATGAAAAATTACAAGAAATTAGGCTTTAATTAGGTTTTAATTGATTTGATCATATACATTGACTTTTTTTTAAATACTTAACTTAAACTTTTTCATGAAATCATCAGCAGCTATTATACTGATAAACTAACGTGCAAATTTTCTGAACTGAGCAGTTGCACGCCAACTGACGAATAGATTTGTGTTTTCTCTTCATGGACTTGTTCGTTAGGGGCAATGAACTAAGTTTGTGCCGATATTCGGCCATTTTGACTCACACATAATTTTTTTATAATGGCGTATTAGATTTTCTTCAATAAATCATAGCACGAAAACGACCGTCTTTGTGCTATAAATTATTGAAAAATATCGAATACGCCAAAACTTAGGCGTGTGTCAAAATGGCCGAATACTAGCATAAACTTGGTCCATTGCCACTAGCGAACAGTTATACGAAGTTTCATGTAAATTCTGAGAGGCAAAAATTTAAAATTTGTTTATTTTTTCGCTATTTGGCCTAGAACTGCTCAACTTCATTAAATTTGGCAATCTGTCATTTTACAAAGGGGTGCCATGTTTCTTTTCAATATTCTTTCGTTCTGTACCCATTTCGACAACACGTTCAATAATTATCTATTTAACTTTTCTATACTTTCAGTGGTTAACACGCCAATGTCATACGGCCAAAACATCACCCTTCCATACAGCCAGCCACAGCCCGATCATGGCTTTTCCAACAATATGCAAACAGATCAAAACAAGCTGAAAAACTCCATCAAGGTCGATCGGGACGAGATGATCAATCAGCAAATCCTACAGAATGTCAACCAATCCTGGCAAACGTTGGCCAATCCATCTAACACGGTGGACTATTCGTCACACTTGCTGTCCGCCACACTGCCAATTTCGATACAGCACTTTCTCAAATACTCCGAAACGATCAAAAAGGAATCCAACGGTGTTGGCTCCGGGCTGGCTTCCCCCGGGCCGCTGAGTGGACTGATCGGAGTTGAAACGAATGCTTTCAATGTGCAAAAAGACTTACTGAATTTGAAGAATGGTTCAAATTTGAACTTGGCGTTGGGCAACGTGGCCGTTAGTGCTGCAGCAGCCAGCTTAGGACTGAATCACCAGCACTTTACCCATCACGCCAACAGCCATCAGGACAATAGCCAAAACTATGGAAACATAAATCAAATACCGATCGTTTCGAATAACACGGTCAATGGCCAACAGCAGATTGGCAATCAGCAGAATGTGATGAATGGATCGGTTAACGGAAATGCCACTCCGGCTGCCACTACCAATGCGAATAACACCAACAACACTAATGGCAATGCAGCTACGACTACGACTACGACCACGGGAAAAGGCAAATCCAAACGCAGCAAGAAGGAAAAGAAACGTAAACCACCGAAGGAAAAGAAGCCCCGCCCGAAGCCGGGTCAGATCCGGGAGACCAAGGCACTGGACGGATCACCGTTATTCTGTTGCCCCGAGTGCCAGATGGCATACCCGGAGCGTGGGCTGATCGAGCAGCATGTCATATCGCACGCGGTGGAGCGGCGTTTCGTGTGCGACATATGCCACGCGGCCCTGAAGCGGAAGGACCACCTAACTCGCCACAAGCTGTCGCACATCCCGGATCGACCGCACATCTGTAGCGTAAGTGTGAATTTTTGTTCGATTTGCATGTAACATTGGTACTTAGAAGTGAAGAAGTGGCGAAAACGGCCTCCGCCAAAGGTGAAGTCAGAAGGGGAGGTTCAATTCAAATAGTTAAACAATTGTTTTCGGAGGGTTAAAGAAACATATTCAAGCTTCATAGAAACGTTGAAGTTGTCGCACTTTTAAAATTGTTTACGAACGCATATTTAAAAAACTACAAGGGAGCCCTATGGGGTTGTACGCAATGGTGACTTAGGACTACGTGGTCTTATATAATAAATCTTATTTGTTAACTGCAGCAGGAGCTTGTGTTTTGTGTAGGAAAAGAAATTTGAGCGTGTTTCTCTCTGTTTATACTCTTTAGTATGACGCGCTTGACATAGATGGCCCACAGCAACTCACGAAGAGCTACTGATTCCGATCAATAGCTGTGCGGCTTCTTTCTACTTCTATGGATGGTCATGTAGGCTGCAGCTCGCTGCTTGGGGGAGCCTTTCGTTGTGTACTGTAGAACACCACCACTCACCATGATTGAATAAACACCGTTTGGTGAAACCGAATGGAATTCAACTTTGAAATCTGTGTTAGGGAATTCGCTTTTAGCAGGCAATCGGTGATTATTTTAACTATCATAGCAACAGTTGAACATTCGAGCAATTTTCAATAGTGAAGTTTTGAAAAATAATAAAGTCTTAACTTTCACAGAAATCACAGACGTAGTCCTACGTCAAAAAAATAAATTAAGAGAGAGTACTTAGAAAAAACATCAAGGCTCTTTGACTAAGGCGAACTTACTTTCAAGATAATTTGACGATAACGCTAGTTTACAGCATAATTGAACTTTGTACGCTGGTGGTCATTTCCCATGTAAAATTGTGTGCACCCAACCAAGGGATGTAAGATTCGCTTACAATTATGTGGGATTCATCATCAGAGGATGTTAGTGGAGACCGCATGAACCGAGGATGCGATATACTGAGCTGCAGTCCAATGCAAGTAAATGGAGAAAGAAAAATGTGGAATGTAAATATTAGTGAGTGAAATTTAATCATGTCGAAAAAAAGTCCCCCCGACTCGAACCACGAACGCTGCGATTATCAGACCTGTGCTTTTTCCACTGCTCTCTCCATGCTTCGGGATATGGATAGGCTAAAAGCAAACAAGAAGCGCTCATTTTCATGCATACTCGACTTCGTTTGCTTTTCTGCTGGCGAGAATTGAGGCAAGTGTGTGCGTCGTTCTACCATAGAGGTAACTCTAAGACCAGAAGGTCCCAAAGAAACGTGCTCAACTTTTTGGCTCAGCTCTGGTACTATCTTCGGTCCCAAGCTAATCGATGCACCACTCGAAACATAGGAAAATCCACGAACCCCTCATTTTATCTGTCAAACTTTCATAGCGAATCAAAACAAACATTCTGTACACGCTTACTTGAAAGTACGCATTTAATGAGTATCTTGTACTCATTTTTTATATTTGTTCTTATATGTCAAAAAATGGGTATTTTCATAAAGATTAAAAAGGGTATTTTTTCTTCATTTTTGAAAATATCTTAAGGCAGAAAAAATGAGTAATACTAATAATAATTGTCAACAGTCTGATGAACTGAAAACATAAAAGCACGGAGTATTCAGATTGCAAAATGTCTTGTCATTCTTGCAAATAGGTTGAAATTTTCGATGAGATTCTCGGTAAAAATACTCCGACTAGTGCTGTTATTATAAGATCACACAACGTAGATGTCATTGAGCCAGTGAATTCCTTTCGGCCGATGTTCATTAAGGCTAAAAACGAGCACAGTAAAATAGTGCTTTGGACGGCAGTTCCGATGGTTACGAGGTAAGGAAAAGATATGAAACCATGCTGAAATTCTAACAAGTGTTCCTGTTCCAGATTAGCGGAGATCTTTGAAAAGGAAAACGACATGCTCAATGATCTGAACGTTTTCAATTAGCAGCATCCATCATCGGATTGATTCCTGCAGTGATCATAGGAGGAAAACGATCTTACGGAAACACTACTTAATGCCTTGTTTGGTCAATGAATGTACTAGATATAGCTAAATGTTCACCAATACATATTTGGATCCGTTTAATATTGATTCTGGTTCAATAAAAAATATGAAAAGTTTTGACAATTATAGCTTTTTCCTTTTTTATTAGTTTAACATGTTTAAAATTTAATAACAGGCAGCTCCATAAAGCAAACATTAAAAAAGAGTACTTTTTACCCATGGGCAGAAAAAAAAACAAAATACCCATTTTTTAAGTGTTCGTCGAATACTCATTAATGAGTAAACTCGGTTTTACTCATTTAATGAGTAACTTTTCTTAAAAATTGGTCTTTTTTTACTCATGAATGGGTTCTTTCAAGTTAGCGTGTAGTACTAGAATTTTGACTAGAATGGGGTACGTTAATCGATTTGCTTGGGACCAATAGGCTAGTCAAGTAGTGATCCAATTTAAAATCGTTATTTTCCACTGGTTGGTTCTACCATGTTATACATTACAATCAAGGCAAAAGCTTGAGTGTGTAGGTGAAAGCATATACAGTACACGGAATAAAAAAATATTAAAAATCATTGGATCGTCTCAATTGCAAATCAACTTCTAACATTCGCTACGATGTTCATGAACAGAGGATGATAGTAAATGGAACTAACATTCATTGTAATGACTTTTTGGTTTGCGTGTGCTGAATCCAAAAATGTAGACATAAAAAAATCTCATTAGGATAGTTTTCTAGACACAGCTAAAAAATGAAATTTCACTCAAAAAAAGTTTGTTTACTAAAATACAAATATCCGGCTGTAATGAAGCTATACCAATTATTTTAGCGCCAAATTAAAGGGAAGAAAATTTGCTTTCGATCATTTGGATGTCATTTTTCAGTTAGATTAGTGGTATTGTTGGCACAACCACTATAAAACAAGTATTTACCTTGCTTATAGACTTAGCTGAAATCCAATTTTTCTTGGAAATATGCAAAAAAAAAAACAAACTATCAATTTACAACAATACCACTAATCTAACTGAAAAATGAAATCCATTTGACCGAAATAAAAAAAATTCACCTTTAATTTGGCGTTAACATAATTGATATAGCTTTATTACAGACGGAGATATTTGTATTTACGACAACAAACTTTTTTTTAAAGTGAAATCTACTTTATATACCAATGGATATTTTTGGTCGCTATTGAAAATTTAGTCGATTGCTGAATTTATGTATGGGCCCACATTAGGAGCAGTTAAGCCGATATTACGTCCATTTCTCCTATCTGAAATTAATAAAAATTTTACATATGCTATTTAAGTTCATTCTTGCTAAAAAAACAACAATTTAGCCTCCTCTCAGTTACTTAATGTTCGGATAAATGACTGTATGTGCAGAAGGGTGCTTTTAAAAATAAAAGTAATGAACTTCTGATAGGCCACCCTCCAGTTCGATTTATAACCCCAAAAAATGGAAAAGATTGATGATCGTTTAGATGTCGCGCCAATGATTTAAATTTTCTATGGAGATTTTGGTGAAATAGCATGGGAAATTATTGATTTTTACTTACATTGCTCTAACTTTGGCTGTAGTCGTTCAAACGTTGAAAAAATGAATACACTGGAGTCGCTTTTTACGCAGGTGATACGTCCCGCGTGAAAAAAAACCGCGGAAATTTCGGAATCCGCGTAAAAAAAAACCGCGTAAATTCCGAAATCCGCGTAAAAAAAACCGCGTAAAAAGCGACTCTAGTGTGTAACGATATACCGCGTAAATTATGAAATCCACGTAAAAAAAACCAAAATCCGCGCAAATTCCGAAATCCGCGTTAAAAAAAACCGCGTAAAAAAAAAACCGTGTAAAAAAAAACCGCGTAAAAAGCAACTCCAGTGTATTTGGTTGCCAATGATCAACAAACCTGTTGTTGTTGTTGTTGTTGTTGTTGTTATGAAATTGGTGTTGTTGTGTAGTACATATTCATCGCATTTCCATATGCTATAAAACTGATCGTAATTTAACAAACATTTTGGTCTTTGCCATAGCACCAACATATTAATTTTGTTTTCAGCATTTGGACAAGTAGGAGCAAAGTTAGATCAATATAAGTATCATTCCAGCTCAAGTGGGTACACCACCTGTGGACGATGTTACCGATTTGAGCCAAACTTGGCCAAAATGCTTATTTTGGAATTCTGAACAAACAACTTTTTTAATTTTGCTCTAAAGTGCCTAGATCCTTCTGGACTACAACCCTGGATTTTCGAGATTTTTAAAAATTTCAACTTTCAGAAGAGATTACTCCATAACCAAATAAGCTATTCGTAATCATAGAACGTAAACTTGAAGGTTTTTTTTATGTAGATTCATATATGTGTACAAACATTTTGTTTTTGTAATAGTACTTACAGTAAACAGACTGATTACCGGCAGGTATCCAAATTGTCAAAAAATGGCCTATTTTCACCATGGGTGGGATTTTTTGTTTCTTAATATTTTGGGCTCAAATTTTCACCACACTTTGGTAAACTCTTCTACTTTATGTGTTTCCAAGGGCAAATGATTTGGACAAATAGTTTTTGAGATATGGCCAGATGAGTGAGAGGTAGTTTTGAGCTTTTCTGGTGAAAAATCAATGCTATTTAATATATTTTTATTAGAGTTGGTTGGAAATGCTAACATGAAGCTTTAGTGTGATAATTTATTAGCTAGAGAATGATCTTTTAGAAGAGAGTAGGTGGATAGTTCTGTTAGAGTACGGCAGTATGAAAATTGAATAGAAGTTGAAAATGAGCGAAGGGCCATTAATGCGACAATTTTTGAAGATAGACGCACATCTTTTGCCTAACCCGTACGATGTACGCGGAGACTTGAAGTATGTCTCCAATAGACTGATGCAAATTTTGACATTTTCGCTCCACAGTGCTCAAACGGTTCCAAATCGGGTCCTGATTAGTCTCCCAAAATTTGAACTCATTTAAAAAGAAACTGACTAGGCACAAACC